GGGGCAGTACCCAACTTAAACCCTTACTTGGTTCAACCATCAAAACGACACGCTGCAGGTGCTCAGGCATCCCTTCTACGTGGCCACGGGCCACGGGATCCTGGTGGGAGAGTGCCTTGGGCAGCATACTGTAGTGACTTAAGAAGGGAGAAGATGGGGAATTGAAGGAAAGCTGGGTCAGTATGCGGGGTTCTTAAGCAGTGTGAGAGATCTTTGGGAGGTTCTCAACTGTATGCAGGAAGTCCGCGTAGTCATCCACATCCGTTTCCGTTAGTAATCACTGGAAATCTCTGAGGTCAGTTCCGAAGGGGCCACTGAATGAGCTACAGTCTAAACTTCTCAAATGGGGGCTTATAAAGGGGAGTGTTATAGGGGTTATTAAGAGGGATACGAGGAGTCTAGACTGTAGCTCATATGAGGAAGATGGGAGCGTAAAACCCTAAACCCTAAACCCGGGCTCAGTGCCTCCCCCAGTTGTTTTCACATGATGGGCCGGCCGCCAACCCATCCCGCGACACTTTGAGCATAAACTAGAACCTACCTCTAACCCCAATCACATACAATTCTATACTGAAATCCTGCATGACCCTAAGTCCCTTAAGACCTTGGGATATGGTACAATACTAAGGTCATGCAGGGTTTGTAGTATCAACGGTACCGTTATACCCATTCGTTATATCAGGGGCCATTGCTGACAAAGTGTAGGTAATTGGCGTGAGAGGTAAGCCCTGACCATGCAGCATCCGCAACAACTTGTTTACCACCAGCAAATGATAACCCCCTTCAGTTCAGGTTTAAGGTTGAGGGTTTGGGATAATCATTTTCTTTTCTGTGTAATGGTAATAGTTCCTTAGGGGTTGGGGTTTTCTTGTTGGCCCTAAACCCTAGACGAGAGTAGTTTCCATTGTCTTGTCCTTTTTCTACTCGCCACACTTACCTGTGAGTACTCAGCCCTCTATTAATACCCCGATATAGCCCCGGTACAGCGTCTAGATGGGGCTTTCATTTGTTACCCCTCACCCCAAACCTTAAAACCCTACACCTCAAGCCCCTAAACAGAAGACATTGAACCCTAAATACGAAACCCTAAACCCCCTAACCCCCTCCTCCCCTGAACCCCAAACCCATTCTGCCCTCGTCAGGCGGGTGCGCGAGAGCCCCCAACTGGCCAAGTCACTGCTGGTTTTGGCGGAGAAGCTTTCTGAGCTCCGGCCACAGCGCCCCGGTCATGGAAGCAGTTTGGGTGTATAAGGGCTTAGGGGTTAGGGTTTAGGGTTTAGGGGTTGGGGTTTAGGGCTCAGGGTTTGAGGCTTAGGGCTTAGGTTTTAGGGTAGGGTTTGGGTTCCCAAAGGGCCAATGTAGTTATACGTGCATTGAATGTTCGGGCTTGTCATTCCTCAACAATCAACATAATTGCCATAATCTGAACTCCTTAAAGGGGTTTATATAGGCGATGATTTAGGTGACTACTGTAGGGACTACAGGGGTTATTCAGGGGGACCAGGATTTCGGAAAATTGTTCATATTATTTTTTGCAAGAGATATGGGACCAAGTTTGTTCGAAGCACCAGCTTGGGACGAGAGATGGCAACGAATGAATTCATCCCAGTTTTTTTTCCTCGGAATGGCAACCTAAACCCTAACTTCTGAATAAACCCTCCTCAATGAGGACCATAACCAGAACAAGTCTCAGTCAGCTTTTAGTCTGGGCAGTCTGGGGTGCATTCCACTTTCGGTCAACATTGCGTTGTCAGGCTGACATCTAGGATCTACCCCTGGACCCCCAAGTATGTTCAGGGTTTGGGGCTTTGATGTCCTATACTGGGAGCTTTTAAATTTCTCCTTTCTCAAAGCATCTGTGGGTCCATGGCTACGGGGACCCCAAAATGTCAAAATACTTGGTTAATGACTCCAGGAAAGCTCTTTTTACATAATACCCTTATTTCTTTGTCCTTCTATACCCCCGTCTATCCTTTATGAACCCCGCCCTAAAGGAGCCCCGATTTGTTGGAAACCCTTAGCTGCGATTCCATGGGGCCTCGCCAGCACAACAAAAGCTGAGGCATGCCGACGCTAGCAACGCAGAGGCTCTGGGTTTCCCCGGTTTAGGGTTTAGGGTTTAGGGTTTGGGCTTGATAGGGTTCAGGATTATTCGGATTATATGGCACGTTTTAATTTCTGTTTGGGCCATTGTTTTGCCTACTTTGATCCAGGTGACTGTTCCTCGTGGGGTCACCTGGTCCATCAGCACCCTACGCTTCAGAGCGTTCGTTGACAGTGATCCGTAACCCAAAAAGTTGTTACATGTTTCCAGGTACAGTTGCGCTGCGAGAGTACCTGGGCCCCAAAAGTAGATAAAATTACAGCCCAAAACCCCTAAAACCAGCCCGAAAGGTCATTATTTGATATACCTTTGGGGTTCAGGTAATTAATGAGTCCTGCACTTTGGACTTCTCCTTGAAAGAAGCTTCAGATCCTCCGTGCCTAGACTCTCAAAGTAGGTAGAATCAGGTAGAATTTGGGTGGGCCCCCACCCAGAAATTTTCTAAACGGGATGATCGGGATTATTTTAATTACGGTCGTCTTATATTGCTGTTATACCACTATTACAGGGTGGGGGCCATCCTACACCAGAACAATAGCCGAAACCCTTAAGTCCACGCACGCCTGACGACTCAGAGGATCGCGCAGCCATCCTCAATGAGGTCTCGAGCGCTGTGGGGGTTGAGCAGTGCCTTGCCGGCACTACCGATTTGGCATTTGTAGGGCTACGCAGAGTTTATGGGTAGACTAGTGGAGAATCAAACGGAGACGTCAATGGAAAATTTGAGTGGCAGCTGGGATTCTACAAGGGATCATCTGGGATCATGATGGTTGGAGTCCCCATTTTACTCCTTGTAAGTACGATTGTCCTGAGTTTGCATAGGGCTCCTGATGCTACTGAGAAATCAGTCAAGTTATAAGCAGCTTACAACCTACATCCAAGTATAGTTATTCGAAGAGATAGACAAGTGTTTCGGTCGTAGTATACCCCCTAAACCCTAAACCTATAAACCCTACAACCCTAAGCCATAAACCGTAAAACCCCGAACCTACCTACATCGACATTACCTTCGTCTTTGCTTTGCCCTTTGGACTGTGAAGACTTCAGCCCCTCCACCGCCCGTAGCTCAAGGACACTCGCCAACTCTAAGCCCTAAACCTCTAAGCCCTACCTGAACCCCAAAAGCATGTTGAATAATTGCCTTTTGGCCTGTTTTTAGGGGTTTTGGGCAATTATTTTACCTACTTTCGGGGTCCAGGTAAACCCTAAAACCCAGAACCCTAAACCCCTAAACCCTGGTCAGGTTTGCGCTTGCCGTTCAAGCAAGCCTCTTCGAAGTGCTTCGGAAGGCCAGTCTTTCTGCAACCCTAACCCTGAAACCCTACAACCCCCTACCTGGACCCCAACAGTAGGTAAAATCATAGCCCAAAACACATGAAAAAACACCCCAAAAGGCAATTATTCTACATATTGTTGGGGTTCAGGTGAACCCAAAAACCCTGAAACTCTGAAACTGAATGTGGGTCCATGCGGGTGACAGACATGTGATAGCTGGTCGTGAGCGTCGCAAGGTAAACTTGCGACTATTCCAAGCCTTTCGCTGTATGGCAACTATATATAGGGGTTTCCCAAATTCAGGGTTAGCTTCAAGGGGGATATATGGGGTCATAAGTTATAAGGGCTAGGGTTTCCTAAACTTGGGGATAGCTTTCTGGGGGTCCCTATAAGAACGAACATAGTATATTGGGGTCCATATTGGGGTACCCTAATTTTGGAAACTACCATATGCCTCCTCGAGCAGGCGGGCTACGCACTCTACTCGCGGAACTGGCGCTTGAACTTTAAGCTCTTGCAAGTGTAGCCCTGCCAGCACTTGTGCACCGGCTAGCAGAGGAGTGATGGTGGCCGGTGGCCAAGATCGGATACAGAATCAATCAGGACCCACCAAAAGTTGAAAGGGAACAGCTAGTAAGGGAGTAGAATACCATCCCGCTCAAAGCTACCACCCAAAGGTACCCTCCTGGGATTTAAGGAGCTAATCAGGACTATATGGGCTTGATAAGGCCTGATCGGGTTGGGAACCGGGGGCGGGGTACCTCTGGGGGGCTACCAGTGTAACGCCTCAGCTAGACTTTTACTTACCCTTACTTTACTGAGGCGAGGTTAGAACCTGTAGTACATACCAGTGCACAGGTGCAAAGGCCAGACCGCATTGGCTAGTATATTCCCTAAGTCCAGGTTGTAGCTTCCAGCTTGCATGCACCTGTAACCAATTACCTGCAGAAATAATGGCCCTTCAGGCGGTTTTTAGGAGTATTTGGCTATTATCTTACTATCCTTGGGGTCCAGGTAAACCTCCGTAGGCGATGGGGGTTACAGGAACATCCCTTGGCTCATAGACACCCTAAGCAAACCCTAAACCTTCAGTAGTAGTTTCCATTTTCTTTTCCATTGTCCCAATATTAATTTAACCCCTATGTATCCCCATTGTAATCCCTATACAACCCAACATACCTTGAAAACCGGGCTCTAAGGCATCGCGAGGCGGTCCGCGAAGTCTACTGGCTGCAACCTGGGACGAATCGCAACCGAGCGGCCTATAGGCCGCAGAATCCAATTCTTGGCTTGAGATTCTGCTTTTCAAAAGAGCTATATACCCTACCCGTGCTTTGGGGTACTTAAAGTGTATGAAGGAAGTCACTTGACATGCAAATTGAAGTCGTTTGTCGTATAGAAGGGGTTCACCTTTGCATATTCCAGGCTGTCGAGGAAAGACTTGCTTATGCCCCAGTAGCAGGAGCATGACTCGGCGCTTTTCAAAGGAGCCAATCTTGTAAGTCTCAGGTCCCCCCCCCATCCTCCTGCTGACTTGCCAATACATCTGGCTTTCTGGGAAGCTTGGCTGAAAGGCACCCCTCGGCAACCAGGAAGTGAGTAGAAAAACTTGATAGGAAAGATGGAGGGCCTCAACAACGGCGACACCGCATGGATGGCCATGTCCTGCGCCTTGGTGCTCTTCATGACGCCCGGGCTAGCATTCTTCTACGGCGGACTTGTACGCGACAGCAACATCGTCAACACTATGATGATGAGCATCATCTCCATGGGGCTCACGACCCTCACTTGGCTGATCTTCGGCTTCACCTGGTCGTTTGACGAATGGGGCGCTGGCAAGGGCTTCACCTACGTAGGTTTCCGCAACCTGGACACAGTGTGGCCCGACACCACCATGCCAGGCCAGGCTTAGAGGGTCAGGGTTTGAGAAGGGTGGTGTAATGTAGTGTAATGCCGACAGTAGTGAATTTGAAGCAAATACTGCTCAGGCATGACTTTTGCTGTGTTCCAGATGACATTTGCCATCATTGCAGCGGCGATCATTTCCGGCGCAGTGGTGGAGCGCATCCGCTTCTCTGCCTATGCCATCTTCATTGTTGTGTGGGTGTTGGCAGTATATGTCCCGCTGTGCCACTGGATTTGGGGCGGCGGCTGGATCGCCGAGATGGGCGCCAAGGACATCCTCTGAAGCTAAGGGCATGTAAGAGTCTGCCGCATACATGCTGCAGTAGGAGTGCAGTAGGCGATTCGTGTGCTAGTGCAGTTCACAGACCTGCGTGGCAGAGATCTCTTTTGTCATCGTGTCCACTTTCCTTTCGCTTCACCAGTTACATTTACATATTCTATATATATATACATATGTAAACTCTTCCTTCGAAGCCAGGATTTTGCGGGTGGCACAGTCGTCCACATCAGCTCCGGCACCTCCGCCTTTGCACTAGCATCCTTGCTGGGTGAGCGCAAGCACCGCGCTGAGTCCTTCCCTTCGAACCTTCCCTTCGTCATCCTTGGAGGAGGCATCCTGTGGCTCGGCTGGACCGGCTTCAACGGCGGATCCGCCTTCGCCGCGAACGGTGACTGCGCGCTGGCTATCGCAACGACCTACGTCGCAGCCGCTGCGGCGATGGCTGCTGGGCTATCAGTGACATGAAATCATGCGGTCCTTTGATGCGAGGGCCCTCCTCTCCAACTAAGGTCATGTGGGTCACGGTCGAGCGGATCCTGGATGGAGCCCCCACGTCCATCGGTGCCATGTCAGGTGCAGTCGCCGGACTTGTGGCTCGTCAAGCATTCAGGTCATTCAGCTTCAGGCCTTGTAAGGACCCCCCAAACTCAAGTTAACTAGCAGGATGTGAGAGTTTTCCTGGGTGTAATGAGGTGAACATCACCCCGTGCGCC